AATTGCCCAAACATAGTAAAGAACCTCTAACAGAAAAAGCCAAGGGCTGGGGTTGGGGGATCTAGATTTTTCTACCAACTGATTACTGCCTCACTATATAATCTTGAACAAGTCATTTCATTTACCTTGGCCTTGGACTCTCACTTGTAAAATAAAGAGACTGAACTAGGTGACTGTGGTTTCATCTTCCTATAATTATAGTCAAAATAGGATGTAAGGAAGCATTTTATTTTGGGAGTTAATATAAGTTACTCTTATATGATAAGACTAAAAGGTTGGTGTTTCCTACATAAATAGATGATAGTTTAAATGCTAAAAGGCTAAATGTAGATATTACTTTGTAACTATAAAACAACTTCACAAGTCTCATAAGGCAATGAGGTCTAATGGTAAAAAAAAAAAAGCTTTTGTAGACACTTAGAAATGATTTAAAATCCTAACTATACAGCCTTCTAATCCCTCCTACACATGACTGCCAGAAGCATCTGACATAGATCTTAGAATGCCATGCCTCCGTCAATGGCAAAAGCATGAGATCCAAACTTTAGCATGACATCTAGTGCTTCACAATTTGGACCAGTCTTCCTTCCTCTCTTATGTCCTGCAGGAGCTTCTATTTTAGCACAGGATTTCCCAAATAGTATCCCCCAGAATACTATTGTGCTGGGAGATGTTAAGAGATAATGTATAAAAACAAGTTCTGGGGGGTTGAGCCCTGTAGCATAGTGGTTAAGTTTGGTGCGCTCTGCTTCAGTGACACGCGTTCATGCGTTTGGATGATGGGCACGGATGTATTCCACCTGACCCACATATAAAGTGGAGGAAGACTGGCACAGATGTTAGTTCAGGGCTAATCTTCTTCAGCAAAAAATAAAAAAATAAAATAAAAAAATAAAAATTTTCAATGGTCAAATAAATCCTACTCAAACATCATCTCCTGTGTGAAGTCTTGCTGAAATCCTTCTATAGAAATTACTTAATCTCTTTTTATTCCCAAAGTACTTCACTTATATTTGACTCTGGGCAGTTTTTAAAGTTGATAACTGAATTCTGGCTTAGCTCTACCTAAGTTTTACATATTCAGTCTTCACATTTTTTCTAATAATTTCATCATCACACTCAAATCTAAATAGTATTTTTCATTCTTTTTAAAAATGAATCTTTCTGATAAATTAGATTTCAAAGTACAGATTCTGCTGCAGGGGCATCATCATATCATGGAAGGAATATGGGCTTTGGAATAAAAACACTTGGGTTCAATTTCTAGCTCTGCAGTAACTAGGTGAGAAATATTGGGCAAATTACTTAACCTTTCTGACTCTCAGTTATCTCTCTCACCTATAAAATGAAGGTGAGAATTTCTACACAGGTTTGCTGATATTTTAGCAAGATAACAGGTAAGTCAATCTATATAAACTACATGACAGATTATACAATATTTAGCACAGAGCAGACACTCAAAAATGTTAGCTTCTTTTGCTTCCTTTCCAAGTGTGCTTACACAGTAGTTTTCTTACATCTCTAATTTGTAATAAAATGGCACAAATGAAGAAAAGAATAAAATTTAAATATATCTGCTTAAGTTCCCATTTTTCAAATTGTGTACATAGTGTGTTCCTTCTTGCAAACTCTGAGGGTCAAACTGGAAGGCAATGACATGACAGTCATGTCTAGAAACAATCTTGAGGCGACATCTGCTTTGGCAGGAAGATTTTAAGCACTCTTCGAGACATTAGATGAGATCTCATCTGAGATATTCAATTACTGATTTGTCAGTTAGCTGCTTAAAGAGAGTTCACTAACTTCTTAAAAGTTCTTTTAATCTCTTCTCATGCATGCTTTTCTTTTTGTTTCCTTCTTAAGATATACTGGTGTCTCTATTGAGTGTGACAGCGATGTGATTTGAGTGTTGTCCTTTGCAAGGGCACTGAATTAAACAAACAGCACTGGGTTTCCTTTGGAGATGTTTGCATCACCTTGGATTTGATACAGTAAAGTAGGACTGTTATCAGTATTTTCTCCCTCAGGGAAGCTAATCTGATTAGCAATCATCCTGCTGGGGACAGATACTTTTAAAGTGTTTATTAACTCTTTCTTCTAACTGTATATCACTACATACTTATCTGGGCCCAACTCAAATATCTCCTTTCAGAAGCTTTCGTGATTATCACAGGTAGAAATTTATGCATGTCACCTTCCATCTTAATATGTATTTTTAGTATCATACTGTATTACTATGTTTATTGCCTTGTGCTTTGCATTATCTTATATTAATTATTTTTACATTATCCTTGTGAAAAAATACCTCTCCCAATTTTGAACATTTTACAGATGAGAATGGGGTATTATAGGTAAGAACAGGCACAGCATGAAATTTGCCCATGGATAGTGAAGTGGCAAAAAAACAAGATTCCAAAGCTCAGGAAATCAAAGTGGTAAGAAATCAAGATTCTAAACTCTCAAGTTAGAGGTCCTTCAGGTTAGACAACATTGCTTTCCTCTCCTTTTCCATAATTTTAAAGATCTTAAAAGTTATTATAAATCTACCCACAAATTCCCAAACAATTTTTCCACTTAGAAATTCCTAAACAATTTTTCTAAGTTTTGGTACATAAGAATACCAACAGTCATATGAAAGAATGAGAGCAATACTCTAAACTGACAAATAGAAGATTCTCATAAAGAGCAGTTCTTTTTTCTTAAGAATGATACTCAGAAAATAATCAGGGATAGATTTTTAAAAGCCCTAAGTATAAACAGAAAGTATCAATTCTAACTACTTAGATCAGCACAGGACATTCCAGGTTAGACATCTGAGGCAAAGGCCTCTTTGAATAAAGCTCAAATAAAGCAGTGAGAAATACCATTGGATCACAATAGTGGGTCACTTTCCCTTACTTGTTTTTCAATACCAGAGTAAGTAATAATGTAGGTGTATGCAATAGATGTATTTTGTAATCCTACCCTGAGTCATCTAAGCAGGCAGATTGTGCCCGTCTACGTTAGCACTGCTTCTGCATATGCGTTACAAGACATAAACTACACATATTTTTTACAAGTCTATCTTCCTGACCAGACGGTGAGCTCCTTGAGACCAGCAGCCACGTCTTATTTGCTTTGGTATTAGCTAACATTCAGAGTGTTTACTATGTGCTAAGGGTTTTACACGCATTATCTCATTCCACCTCAGACAACCTCAGGAGGTTATTATACCAATTTCAGAGACGCAGTATGATGAGCTCTTTAAGAGCAGGGACTTCGTTATTTCAATCATGAGTCTATCTCCTGTGTCTAGGACAGCATCTGGCATATTGGAAGGCCGTTAAAAAGTGTTTGTTGAATAATTAGGACACCAAAGCTCAAACCTGCTAGTAAGTGGAGAGACTAGATTTGAATCTAGGTCTGCCTGACTTCAGATTTTAAAGTCTCTGCTCTGCTGCCTATCTCCTTCCAACTCCCAGCTCAGAATCTGGTACTGAGAACGTACACAGTGGACATCTGCTGAATGAATGAATGTCTTCTACACTCAGTCGCTTATCCACTTTACCTGAGCACTGCCCTCCTTCTGCACTTCTCTATCCTGATTTGTAATCTCTAGGCTTAGGATATAAACCATAGCTGTAAGCTTTCATCCTGCTTCCCCTCCTATCAGCAAACCTCATCCCCATCATATACAGACAAGACAATATTTATGACTGGAAAAACACATAGAAATTGCAGCATTGGAAGTTATATGAATAATTGGTTACTTTTATTACATAAACATACTGTCAAAATAGGTCTAAAATACAAAATGGGAACTTGATGGTCATAAACTTATAAAAATTAATCCCAAATTTCTAAATTTTGGTTTTTGGTGGTTACGATTTCTCTTTCTTATAAAGGCAAACAAGAAATTCATAAAAACTGAAGTATTCTTCATATAAATAAACTTACTTCATTTTTTACACTGTGTCAGTAAATCTTTCTAAATAAAGGGGTAATTACACAATGACACCATTTCAAGCTATGATCAACAGGAAAGTGAGAATGACCTCTCCCGTGACATCTACTTTCAGCTGGCCTGTAGAAAAGGAAGGCACAATAATGTGGTTTTGGAATTTATTTCAAAAAACAGATCTCAGTCAGATGATTATCGTCTAGTTTAAGCTTAAAAAGTTACAGGAACATTTACTTGTTATATAAGCACAAATATTCTAAAACTACAAAGCCTCCAATACTCCTGAAACGTGTGCTTATTTATTTATTTTTGTTTGCTACTTTGTTGAAAAAAGGGAGACAAGATTTAAACAAATCTAAGTTACAATTCTGGCTCTGCCCTGTGATAACTGTGTAACCCTGGGGCAAATTAATATCTCTGAGCTCATCTCCCTTAAAATGTGGACAATAATTGCTAATTTGTGGGACTGCTGGGGAGATCAGAGTCTGGTGTAGTAATGAGCATAGTGCCAGGCACATGGTAGCACTCAATAAACAAAAGCTCTCTTTATTTAGGGTCTGCTACTTTATTTCACTCTCGTTTCATTGTGGGATGCACTCAAATCACTATTTCCTAAAGCAAAGTTTCCTATGTTTGCTTCCCTCAATGTAAATAACCTCCCCGGCAAAAGTCTCATTAAAATATACATTAGGGGAAAATATTCAAGGATTTTTCAGTCTATCTTTTCTAGAAAATACTGTCATAAAACAGATTTTATATGTGTATGTGCATAACGCTTCCTGTTTTTTCCTGCTTCTAAGAGCCATGCCGCACCTGCGTCACTGACTCCCCACAGCCAGCCGGGCCTGGGCACTGGCTGTCCCAGGTATACTCCTATTATCCACACCTGGCTCCTCTAGGCGTTTGCATTTGCAACCTCCGTTTTAAACAATGGACTTTCTCAGGATATCTACGATTTCATTTTCAGAAGCTGTATCTGCATATAATTTACTAGAAAAGGAAAACACAAGGCAGCAAGTATTGCTAAACAATCAAATGTGTAATAATTTCTAAAAATTACCTGCTGAAATATAGGCTCCTTTACCTTAAGGTAAACCTGCAAAATATTAAAAGAAACACATGAGAATGAAGTGCATTATGGAGAGGGAAGAAAATCTATTCCAACAATTCTGCAAATCCCAAGTAAATTTCCTGCTTCTGTAGTCCTGCTGCTTAGATGTGACTCCAGCCAGATCTAACCAATTAGGTTAGCTGGCATGCTACAGAGGGGCTAGTACCCACAGGTGGGGATCCCCTAGTGCTAGTTTACCATGGTAAACTAAATGTTTCAAAGCTGTTGTGCATTACTCTGGTCTCTTGGCCTCCGCATCAGCATCAAGGAGGGGCAAAGATGCACAGATACTCAAGAGGGCTGAAGAGGTTATGCCGACAATCCCTATAGCAGATCTGCTCTAGAGCGCTTAGAGGTAGAGACAGGAGTTAAATGTCAGACTGCCACTTACTTGCTACATGCCTTGAGCAAGTCACTTAACCAAAAGACGTATTTTCCCCTATTTGAACAACAGGAATAATAGCGGTAAGGAATAATAAGCTAAAATATGTGGAAGTGTAGCATATAATAGGTGCTCAATAAGTGAAAACATTTAAAACAAATTTCTTGTGCTTTCCTCTGCTTCCAAAAACCTCTCACTCACTCACCTAAACACACAAGTCACTCACCTAGATGCATTCCCCGTTACACAAACCCTAGTTTTCAGCTCCACGGCCATGTGGGTGATTAAGCTCAATGCCTATTTAAGATTTAGCATGCATTTATTGCCCTATAGGAGTACACCTTTAAAATGACATGGTAGAGAGGAATCAAAATGCAAATTATAACCCTGAAATGACTCCCATCACTTACAAGACAAAGTCCAAATTTCAAAGCCTTCCATGATCTCACTCCTGCCTTTCTGTTTGGCCTCATTGCTCTCTTCTTGTCTCCTTCATCCTAGGCTCCAGAGCATACAGCGCTTCCCCAAATGCGCTAGTTTCATTCTTCTGTATCTTTAAACATGCTGCTCTTTACTTTATTCAGAAATCCTCCCCTGCCGGCAAAAACTCATCTTTCAACACTCAGCTCAAACTATACCTCGTGCTCGAAGCCTTTTCTGATCCCTCTCTATTCGGCAGAAGCAACCACTCACCCTCCTTTGTACCCTCACTGTCCAAGTATAAACTTCACGGCATTTATTAGGATATTTGTTTCTCTCCCCTACAAGGCAGTAATCTCTCTGACAGCAAGGACTGTGCTTAGATATCTCTATATCCCCATTTAATGCAGTGCTGAGCTCACAAAATTTTACATAATTTTATAATTTGGTTACAAAATTTCTTATTTCTGGAGGAAGTTCCTACCCTCATTGCAACGAGGGCACACTATTTCCTTTAAGTAAGCACTCACAGAGCTTTAACAGTAAGATGTGTATGAGACATTATACAGGTATCTGTAAGTCTAAACTCAGTGAGGAAGAATGCTTTTAATCTCTGAAATCTGTTCAAAATACTAATCTCCCTTTTTATAGTTTCAGGTTTCTACTGTTGCTAATAAAAGAAATGCAAAAGGACATGTCTAGTAAAGGTACTTTTTCTTTTTTTTGGTGAGGAAGATTGTCGCTGAGCTAACATGTACATCAGTCTTCCTCTATTTTGTATGTGGGACACCACCACAGCATGGCTTGATGAGCACTGTGTAGGTCTGCACCTGGGATCAAAACCCATGAACCCCAGGCCACCAAAGTGGAGCAAGTGAACTTAACCACTATGCCACCAGACTGGCCCCCTAAAGACATGTTTTTAAGGCAAAAGAATTATGGAGTCCTTACTATGTGCCAGGTATTAATTCTCAGAACTAATATGCAATGTATGCAATTATCTTTATTTTACAGATGAGGAAAACTAAAGCAGAGAGAGATTCAGTAACTTCCCCAACGTCCCACTTCTTAAGTAACAGTGTTGGTCCAAACTCAGATCTGACTGACTCCCAAGCCTGTGTTTCAACCACATCAGCTCTTAACCTACAAAGGGGTCTAGTCGTGACTCTCCTACCAATTCTCCATGTGAACTTGGTTGGCCAGACAAGTCATAAATCTCTCTGGACTTTATTTTTTTCTTTTATACAGTAGCAAGACTTCCTTTCACCTCTGAAATTCTAGGATTCTCTCATGATTAACGAGTATGTAGTTTATGCAAAGGAATATGCAGGGCAATGCAGAAACATAAGAAAATGCTCCTTCAGTCTCCTATTCACCTTTTCAACTCACTGAAATCTAGCTTCTGCTTCCAACAATCTACTGCTCACAATATCCTTATTACGTTTACTTGGTCTTTTACCCGAAATTTTTATGGGTCAAACCTCAATGGGTCAAACCTCTTCATCTCACTCATCCTCTCAGAGGCAACTAATACTGTTAGTCCTTCTAGTAATGTCTTTGTACTCTGTGACATCAGGCTCTCTGAGTTCTCCTACAACTCTGATTACTTGTTCTCAGTCTACTTTGCTGGCTTCATTTCTTCCACCTGACCCTCAAATGTCAGTGTTCCAGCATACAGCATGGTGATTAATAATACTGGACTGAACACTGGCAATTTGCTGGGAGTAGATTTTGGCTGCTCTCATCACACACACACAAATGGTAACTATGCGAGAAGATATATCAATTACCTTGACTGTAGTAATCATTTCACTATGTATATCAAGTCATCATGTTGTACATCTTAAATGTATACAATTTTTATTTAAAAAATGTTGATTCTTATTGAAATCTTTAGGCATTATGAAAAGAGGTATCCTAATTTTATCATAAAGAGTTTGCATACTGACAGGCTTTGAATGTCAGAGAGACAAATCAACTGTAACTCTTAGGATATAATATCATAAATTATACTGTTTTGTTTATCTCTGTAAAAGAAAAAAGTCAGTGTTCCAAAGGGTCATATCTTTGGTCATCTTAATGGTCTATGCTATCTCTGTGCCAGTTCATCTATTCCCACATTTCTAGTACTACCTATACCCTGACAACCCCCAATCCACATCTTTAGTCCATCTTACCTGTTAAGCCTCAGATATCATTAATATCAGGCACCTCCATCTCAACACATTCCAAACGGAACTTACCTACCCCTATCCCATGACACAAACCTAACATTACATTTCCTGCAAAATCCGCTCTTCCTCCAAGTTTCCTATCTTAATTAAGGACCTACTAGATGTATCCTGATGGACAGGCCATAAACTAAGGAATCATTCTAGACAATTCCTTCTTTTGACTCCATTCCCAACCCCCTACTTAGTGGGTCACAAGTCATGTGGATTGCTATTATGACAGCTTCTTTCCTCCCCACAGCTATTTTACCTCAGTTTGAGTCTCATATCTGCCCTACGCAAATGCAAAAGTCATGGGTCTGGCCTCCAACTCCCCTAATCCATCCTCTACAAGCAAAGTAATCTTTCTAGAACACATATCTAATTATGTTTTTCCTCTACTTTCAACCAGTTAATGGCTCTACACTACTTGAGAATAAAAATTCAAACTTAAACATGGTGTACAAAGGTCTTTATAATCTGACATTTGTCTAATTCACTAGATTCATTCACTGCTCTCCACATTACATCCGTTCCAGCCATATTAAATCTCTCCCAGTTTTATTAGCAGTGATGATTTAATGAGAAAATAAATGTAAAGTATTCAGTACAGTATCTGGCACATAGTAAGCACTTAAAAATGATAATTCATTTTACTGTTCCAAGGTTCTACCCCTGTGGACAGTGGCGAAGTCCTAATCATCAGTTAACACTCAGCCGGAGTGCCTCCTCTCTGGAGTTTTCCTGGACCCCCTCAAGCAGTTTTCATTGATCCGCCTTCATCTCATCATTGTATAACTAGTTTTTACCTCTCTTACCATCTTTTGATGCAATTCTTTGTTTACATGTTTGACTTTCCTACTAGACTGTACTCCTCAAGCACAGCAACTGCTTCTTAGTCATCTTTGTATTTTCTACTGCCTGATATGGTAGGTTTGCAATAAACGTTTGTTGAAATGAATCTCTTTTTTTTTTTTGTAAAAGACTGGCACCTGAGCTAACATCTGTTGCCCATCTTTTTTTTTCGTCTTCTTCTCCCCAAAGCCCCCCAGTACATAGTTGTATATTCTAGTTGTGAGAGCCTCTGGTTGTGCTATGTGGGATGCTGCCTCAGAATGACCTGAGGAGCGGTGCCATGTCCACGCCCAGAATCTGAATGGGCGAAACCCTGGGCCGCTGAAGCGGAGCACGTGAACTTAACCACTCGGCCACGGGGCCAGCCCCAAAATGAGTCTCTCTTAATACACAATGCAATTCACTTGAGGAAAAAAAGCACTAGGGTAGAATCAGAAATGACCAGTTATCTCAATTTATTAGGAGGTTAACCATTAAATAGTCATACTAGGCCCAACAGAGCAGAGCCAATCTCTTTTTTTTAACAAATAGGAGGTAACATGTCCATCCATGAGAAAAAGTTAATTTTTTTCCATTGCTACTAAATATTTGCCTTTTGACATTTTCCCACCTTAAAAAAAAAACCAGGGGCCGGCCTGGTGGCACAGTGGTTAAGTTCACACGTTCTGCTTCTCGGCCGCCCAGGGTTCGATGGTTCAGATCCCAGGTGCGGACATGGCACCGCTTGGCATGCCATGCTGTGGTAGGCGTCCCACATATAAAGTCGAGGAAAATGGGCATGCATGTTAGCTCAGGGCCAGTCTTCCTCAACAAAAAGGAGGAGGAATGGCAGTAGTGAGCTCAGGGCTAATCCTCCTCAAAAAAAAAAAACCAGATTTTTTAAAAAGTTGTTTCAACTTTTTGTTGAGAAATAACACCTAAACAGAAAACAATGGAACAAATCTGTGAGTTTCATGCAGAAACATTTCAGTCTGAAAAGCATGAAGCAAACACTGGAAGCAAAATGTGCCAAATTCCATAAATGGCTATTCCGTATGCTTAACCTTTCAGAAACAAAATGTGACTTACTGTGGTGACTATTAAACTGAAGAGAACTAAGGTAAAAAGCAGATGATAGTTTACTGAGTTCTTCATCTTGAAACATTCAAACCTTAAAAAGAGAGAAAAAGAAACATGTTTGGGAACATATAACTAGGAAAACAAATACAATGCTGTTTTACCACTTGCATACATGCCTGTAGGTCCAGTGATGCCCATCATTTCCTCCCACGCACATTCTCATCCTAGAGAACCCACATTGTCTACAGCCTTCAAGAGGCGGTGGGGACCAGGAGTAGGCACCTGACAAACTGGGCCAATGAGAGGCTCGCCCCTGAAATGTGGAGTTTGGGAGCCACAGACTGAATCAGACTGAATCAACTACGTGTAGAGTCAAAGTATAAAGGCATACGGATTCAAGATCTGATGCTGATATTTGGGCAACAAAACTGAATGAACGAGCAGATGAATGAGCAGAGAAGTGATCTGTAGGGAGAGAAAAACAAAGCAGATACAAAGACTTGAAACCATGTGGAGAGAAAGGAATGGAGAAAAGAGGGAGGGAGAGAGAAGCTGTCCTTCCAGTTCTAGTGAGGCTGTCTCTCCTGCTTTTGGATCCTATAGAATTTCCTCATGTCCCTACAATAAATAAATCTCTCAACTCCAGCTGGCCGGAGTAGGTTTGTACATCTTGCCACTAAGGATCCCTGACTAAGACACACTATTACAGAAAATATCACTCTATTATAATTGTCTCTTTACTTACCTGTCTCCCCAACCAGACTGAGAATTCCTTGTGTGCAGAGATAAAATCTTTTTTCATCTATCTAGTCACTAGGATACTGTCTGACACACAGGAAAGATTCAGTAAATAAGGAAATATCAACAAATATTTAGCCATCAATTAAATATCCAACCTTTGAGCCTATGTTTTGGTACAAGCTGAGGGACAGTTCTCAGTTTACTAAGTAATTTGCTGTGGGAATTGGACCCAACTCCTAGCTCTCATCTGTAAAGAAAGGTGGTTGCCCCAGATGATTTCTAAGATCTCTTTTACCTTTAAAGTCTGCGATTTGATGACTTATTAACAGGAGCTCATCTAAAAGTATTTTTTAAAGTCAAGGGTAGCAAACTATAGCCCAAGAGCCAATTTCTCAGCCTAAGCCTTATTTTTGTAAATAAAATTTTACTGGAACATAATCACAACCATTTGTTTACCTATTTCTATGACTGTTTCCACGCTACAACAGCAGAGCTCAAGAGCTGTAACAGAGACCACAGGCCCACAAAGCCTAAAATAATTACTATCTAGCCCTTTACAGAAAGAGTTTCAGATGAGCTCTTTGTAATAACGTATTTTTTTCAAACTATTCTGATTTTTACATATCTTTAGAAGAAGATATTCTTGAGCTATCAGTGACGACCATATTGAAAGAAATCAGATAACCATCACGTAAGGGGTTCAGAGATGTCTTAACTATTAGTGCTAGAGAATAGAAAGTATACTTAGAAGGCAAAGTTATTAAACTTTAGTACAGTTTCCAACTCTGACACTTCCTAACTGCATGACCTTAGGCAAGTCATCTAAGATAAGCTCTGCTTATATCTGCAAACAAGTTACTAAACCTCTCTGTGCTTCACTTCAGCATCTATAAAGTGGGAACAATACCCATTTATCTTGCACAACTGTGAGAATTAGAGATGACTTGGTATGCTGCCTGGCACAATTACAGGTACAAAGTAGATAAATATTATTTTTATGGCATAATATATAAAACTTTAAATTTGTACATATTCATAACTCAAGTAAAGGCAAAAATACAACTTAAGTCAAATTTAAGTAAGAGTCTATCTAAATTAGCTATAGGGTCTTGAGATTACAAAAGTTAATGAACAACATTATTATAACTTCCCAGAGATTATAGTCTACATTTAGATCACAAAGTTATAATCTTCTACACTATTACAATCGCCAGCAACATAAGTGAGTTAGTTACACTACTTAATTCGCTATGAGGCAAACATAAATTTTAAAATACATCAAACAAGTGAATTTTAAACATAAATACTTACATGCAGTACACAAATATACAACAGCTGTAAATCATCGGGAGTTCATCCAATAGCTATGAGAAACAAAGACAGATATGAATACTGTAGAGTTTCAACTATTATGCAAATTAAAACATCAGAATGATTAATATGGTTACCTCTAACTATATAATATCTTTTACTAATTCTTTTATATATTTATCATCAACTAATTTACTCTGAGTGTGTATATTCAGTTTATTGTTTGTGAACAAATAAGCTTATTCATTCATTCTGAAGAGGAGTCTGGAGAGGTAGGCACGGCCAGATCACAGAGCCTATGGTTCACTTTATGAGCTCGAACTACGGGAAGTAGTAAAGAGATTTAGAAAGTGACACACCATCTGGAGAGCAGGGACTGTATTTTACACATCTCATCCCTAACACTCGTAAAAGCCTAGCAAACATTAGTCAAAGAATGAAAACAGTTTTGTTTGTAGGACGAGCATTTCTGTTCCAGTGTGACAAAGGGACTGGGGAGACAGGCACATCAATTAGGAGACAGTTACAGGAATCTGGGTTGGAGATGATGAATTAAGGGAGCGACAATGGAGACAGCTAGAGGTAGATGTGGTCAAGACTTATCACGAAAGTTCAGTTGAGAGGTTTTAGTGTTTGCAGAGGTGAGAAAGTAGGAGAAATTAAAGATGAATCATAGGTTTTTGCCTTGGGCTTTCAGTGTAAGGTGGTTCCATTCATTGAGATAGGAAGCAAAGGAGAAAGAGGGTAGTATTTGTAACAGAACATTTGTTGTTTACATTACAAAGTCTGAATTAGCTTACACTATTACCTAACATTTAAGCTATTTTTGGTTTTGTATTATAAATAAAGTTATAGGTGAACAAATATTTTTCTTTGGTTTTATTTTCTAAGATAAATTTATTTATTTTTACTTATGAGAAACAGGTGAATACTGCCTTTTATTACTAGCATTGATTTTTTCCCTAATATCCAACAAACTACATGCTCAGTGTAGAATACTTGGAAAAAGCAGAAAAACATAAAGAAAAAATTGAGAAATTGCCTTTAATTTTACCCTCCCCCAGATTATCAATAACTATTTATTTCAGTTAGTGACAGCAAAAAAGAATGAGTTGAATGAGTGACTAAATGAAAAGAAAATCTGGGAGAAGTCTCCTAAAAACTTAAAGATTTTATACTCTTACCATCATCAACATAGGACAAAGTCCTAAGACAGGTAAAGGAAACAAAGAATACAAAACAAACTCTAGACCCCAATCTTGTCTAACTTTCCATGTAACTTCTAGTCAAGTCATTTCCCCTCCCTTGGCCTGTTTTACCACTTATAAAATTTGTAGATTGGACTAAATTTCAAAAATCCATACACTTACTTACCAGATCCTATGATGGCAGTTTCATACATGCTGACCAACTGATCCTCACAATACTCCTACAGACCCATTAGAGAGATGAGAAAACTAAGGCACAGCAAGATTAAATGGCATGTCTATGCTCAAATAGGTAGTAAAGTAATAGAATCAGACCTGGGACTCAAGCAGCCACTTGGCGATAATAAATCTGAAGAAAATACCATCCAAGCTCCAAATCATTCTTAACACAGAACTGTCAATGTTTCTCGTGCTCAGTTTAGGCAGAAGTGAAACATGGGCCTCCAATTTCTTTACACCTACACGCTAAATTCAGGCTGATGGAATGGTTCACTGACCACCAGAGACAGGTCGCGGCAGCACTGCCTTTTCTTACTTTGTTTCAGTGACTGTGCATAACAAATGATGGCCCACCTGAGCCAAACTTATCCAGCTTTGTGGAGACAAGACAGGGAGCCTGCAAGGAATATTCATGATCATATGTTCAGATTAAACGAGATGAAGAAGCTGTTGAAACAAGTCCTTCAAAATTGATGATTCCTCCCTCCTCCTCAATCACTGGGAAAATGGGTCATAGGTCATTTCTGCCCATTTAAGCAAGCACAAAAACCACAACTTTGTAGTTCAAAAGAGGAAGGAAACAAAGCACTTGTATGATTTGTCCATGAAGCTGATAAAGTAGTATTACAGTAATGATAAAGAGTAGAATCAAAGATCTCAGCATCAAAGGCCATCTTGTCCATCCAAACGTTGTACTATCTAGGTAACAACCTAGCCAACAATTAAGTTTATATGCAAATCAAAGTGTGTCCCACCTCTGCTTAAAATCCATCAATGGCTCAGAGAAGATAAAGTCCAAGAGGCTTAGATTTAGCCTCCGGTTAGTTTCCTAAACCACATCTCCTGCCACTTAGTTCAATGCCTGGCCCAGAGCAAGTACTCGATAATGTAACAAATGTTAGCTACTATTACTGGGAGCGCTATCACCATCATCACCGCATACTCCCACTCCATGGCTACAACCATAATGTACCTCTTGCAGTGCCCTGAGATGCCAGACATACTCTCACAACTCTGTGGGTTCTAGTTGGCCTGGCAAATTCCTATTCATCTTTGAAGATGCAACTCAAACATGGATCTGAGTCATCTATGTGAACGCCCTCTCTGACCTTCCTGACCTAAATAGTTTCTCTTTCCATTTCCATAGCACCCTGTAGGTCCCTTTATCACTGCATTCACTAGCATGTTATCTTCAATCCTAGAGCATAGACTTCTTGAGGGAGGGACTATATCATCTTTACCTATGCATAGCTGTTGCCCAGGTACCAAATAAAAAATTTTGAACTAATGAAAGTGTTTGTTTAACCTAAGTTTGGGCACCTACAAGGACAGAGGGCTCAAGATCTCCCAAGGCAGCCCTTACCACCTACTGGCTTAACAAATTCTTCCCTGTGTTAAGCAAGATGTCTCTTTATCTTTAACCCCACTAGGACCATACAGAATAAACCTAACTCTCTTCAACATGTCAACCCTTCAAACATTGATTCTTAAAAGATTTATGTAGTGCTATGTTCCAGACCCGTGATAGAAGTAAAGGATACACCAAGGTTAACCAGAGAGAGTTTCTGCTCTTAGGTAACTCACATTCTGATAGACAAGACAGACATACAAATATATTTATAAAACAACAGCAATAAGGGCAGTAACAGAAATGCACAAAGTGTTATGGAAGAACATATGAGGGGTACATATTCCACCCTGGGGCCATGGAAGGCTTCCTAAAGGAGCTGACACTTTGGCTGAGACTTTAAAGACGCACAGGAATTGTCCATGGGAGAAGGGGAAGTCAATAGGGTCAGACATGAACAACAGGGCCAGAGCATAGAATGGACAGAGTCTGGTGTGCACAGCTGAGTCGGGGTGAGTGAGCATGTCTTCTCTTGTCAGGTTAAATATTCCTGGTCCTTCCTCTCGGGCATCATGACTAGAGTTTTAGTTCTTTCTTCTGGTGTTTCTCATTTGAACACAAGCCAGATCAGTCCTCAGAAATGAATGCAATTTTCTTGTCATGATCTGCTCAGCGCACAGTAGGGGAGCCTATCCCCTCCCTCACTGAGATGCTTAGTCTCGCCTGACATCTTGTCTCAACACATTCATCCAGTTGTTCCTTCATATATGGGGCAGAACACACTAGTTCCAGGAATAATGTTTTAGGAATAATATAATGGACAGCAGAATGATCCTTGAGATTTTAAAATTTATCTAAGTCTTAGAAAACAGGTGTTAAGGAAATGTCAGAGGTTATTGTATGCACAGAATTAGACTAGATGTTTTGTAAATTGTTCTGGCTATCTGCTAATGTATAGCAAGCCACCCTAAAACTCAGCAGCTTAAAATAACAATATTTATTTTGCTCATTAATGTGCATTTTTGAGCAGGGTTAGGAGAGGATAGTTCATCCCTACTTCACTCAGTGCCAGCTGGGATAGCTCAAAGGCTGGGGGCTGGAATCATCTAAAGATTCACTCACTGAAATACTTGGCAGCTGATGCTGGCTGAAGTCTGGGGCCTTCAGGTAAGGCTGTGGCAGAAACATCTATAATGGCTTCTTCACGTGGCTAGTTGGTTTCTTTACAACATGGTGCTGGGTTCCAAGGGTAAGCGTCCCAGGAGGACTAGGCAGAAGCTTTATTGCCTTTTGAGACTCAGTCTTGGAAGGTGTATAGCTTCATGCCCACCACAGTCACAGTCCTGCCCAGATTCAAGGGCAAGGAACAAAGATCCTACCTCTTGAGCAGGGTCAACACCACCCTGTAAGAAAAGCAGGTGGGATGGGATATATTGGTGTAGATATCTTTGGAAAACACAATAATCTACAACACAAATAAAACTCAAAACCCCAGGAACAAGATAGTTTGCTTTAGGATGGCGGGTATTCTGACTGGCTGATTAGTACTATTATTCCTCGGAAGCAACGTTGGAGTCGTTTAAAGTCTCTTTTTTAAAACACAAACATAAACATGTATTTTCCTTACTATAAAAGTGCTTCATGTTTATTGTAGAAAATTTGGAAAATGTAGAAATGCAGAGAGAAAGAAATATAATTGCCTATAATTCCACAATCCAGGGATAACTACAATTTAATATTTCAATGCATCTCTTAGTCATTCACGCAAATGGTTAATTAAATGTCCTTCCTTCCTCACTCCCTTCTAAGATGTATTTACTGTGCCCAGGTCACGTGCCAGCATTATTCTCTATGCTAAAGATACAGTGGTATTTAACACAGGTGAGATCTCTGCTCTCCAGACCTTTACATTCTATTCTAGTTGGGAGAGACTGCAAAATAAGATAATTTCAAATGGTGATAAGTGCTATGAAAAGCATAACATAAAGTAATTTGCAGAAGGGGTTGCTTTACACAAAATGGTCAGAAAAGGCATATCTGAGGAATTAGAAGGAACTAGACATGCAGAGATCTGAGAAAAGTGTTGCAGGCAGAGGACATAACAATTACAAAGGCCCTGAGGCAGTTTCGAAAGGACAGCAAGGCCAACGTGGCTGGAGTATAGTGAACAACGCAGAGGTTGGAGAACTAGACCTCGGCTTGATCATGGAGGCCACTAAAGAATTTGGATTTCACTTCAAGTGCAAAAGGATACCTTGGAGAGTCTTAAGCAGAATGA